AATAGTTTTTTTTTGCTAGTTTTTAAAAGTGAGAAAGTTAACCAAATTGCTTTAATTTTGTAAAGCATAAAAGTATAACAAACTGTGAAAAAAAAAAATAGTTTAATAATACTATATCAAAAAGTGTTTTTATAGTTGTTGTTTTTTTTACAAACTTTTTTTTTTAATGAATAACTTTTTATTTTTTATTCTATTTTTTATCTTTTTATTTTTTTAAATTACTTTCCATATATATTATATTTATATTATTATATTATTTTGATTATTTATTAGTTACTAAATAGTTATCATAATTAACACTTTAATAGGGATATTTTAATGTATTTAAATGTTTAAAATTTTTATTGTAGGTAAATGGGCTTGTGCTAACTGTCAAGTAAAAGGTAAAATGAAGCTTTCAATGTCCTCTACCAAACCAGTGTATATCATTGCAGATGATGATGAACCTCCAAAGACTAAAGGAGTAAAAGTTGCACCAACTACTTTAAATTTGGGTATGTTTTAAATATGAGTAGGTTAAAATTTTGGCTATGTTTTATAATTGCAAAAAAATTATATAGAATAGAACAATACAAAGTGAGCTTAAAGTGAATGCAAATTATTGTTTTTAAAGTTCAACACAATAATTTATTACAAATTTAAAGTTTAAATATTTGTACTATTACAATAAAGTATATATTTTATAACAAAATAAAGTTTCACTTCAAGAAAGCTTTTTTTATAAACTATTTTTCTTTATTGTTTTTGTTTTTTAAAACAAGATTTATTGTTTTTGGTTGAAGGCTTGCAAAAGTGTGTTAAAAATGATTAAACTTTCAAATAAATAACATTTATTTATTTATTACGTTATATATTAAATTTTTTATCTAAAAGTTAAACATGCATTAAAATATTGCTGTTAAAAACTTGTTAATAAAATGCACTATGCATTATTATGCTTACAGCTAAAATATTTACACATTTTTAAAACTTAAGTATTCATATATAAAATTGTTTTAGCAAAATTGAACTTTTTTTTTTTAAGTTTAATTCTAAAACTAAAGAACTTATTTTAATGAGTTTAAAAAGTACACACTTATGTCAACAAATTTTGCAAGTAAAATAGTACTTTTTTTTTTCAACAAATTGTTTCAGCATAATCAAAATAGTACACACCTATATTAAGGAATAGTTTCAACTAAAGTAGTACATATTTATGTTAAGAAATAGTTTTAGCATAAGTAAAACACATTTACGTTAGAAATAGTTCATGTTTTATAAATACACTTTCAACATTGACTAATAATGATATAAGTAATTTTAAAGTTGAAAAAAAATTTCGTAATGCACCTAAAGTTGTATTCTATATGAGAATACTCAGGTGTTTCTAAATAAATTGATTTGTAAATACCTGATTTTAAGATTTTTAGGAAATAATGACCAAACCACTTTTAAATGTTTATAATAAATTCTAAATTCATATATAAAATAATTTCAGCAAAACTTTTTTTTTTTTAATTTTAATTCTAAAACTAAAGAACTTATGCTAACAAGTTTAAATAGTACACATGTCATCAAATAATACACACTTATGTCAACAAATTTTTGCAAGTAAACAAGTTTTGTGTTTCTAAATAAATTGATTTGTGTATACCGTATTTTATGGTTTTTTGGAAATAATGACTAACCTGCTTTTAAATGTTTATAACTAAATAAACCCTTTACCAAAAAAATTATACTACTTAAAATAGTTACTGTATACACTGATAAACAAATGCAACTAAAAATTATCTTTTGTAATAATTTTGAAACATTAAGTTGTATTTCTGTAACTGTAAACCTAAGATTACATTTTTCACACAAAGATCTTATATTTTTATGACATATGATACATCTTTCACACAAAGATATTTTTATGACATATGATCTTTCATGAGTATACTCAGCTTATTTCTCTATCAAATTGAATGCTGGTAAATCTGGTAAATGCTGTTTCTCTGGCTATCTGCTGGTAAATCCACCTGTTGCTTACAATCTTTTAGTCTAAAATCAGGGTGAATAATTTTGTCACCATTAGAATGTAGAGTGAAATAAAATCTTCAAGCTGCAACTAGAGACAGGTTTAACATATTAGCCATCAATATCCACCACCATTTTTTAACTTATTAAGATTTTAAACTTGCATAATGCGATCCATCAGTTCAACTACATCCATTCAATTGATATAAAAATTTATAAGATTGATTCACTAAAATTTACAAAAGAGAAAAACTGCAAATTAGACTTTTTATTTTTCAGCTTTTTTTCTTTTTTGTAAAATATGCCTATAAAAAACAATCAGTGTGAAAACAATCAGTGTGAAAACAATCAATGTGTGATCATCAAAAGATCATAATTAGGCAACAATGTTGCCACTTGCGAAAAAATTACACTACAAATTGACACTTAAACAGCAGCATTAAACATAAATATGTATATTTGGAAAGTAACAAAATATTAAAAAATAAAACATCCATCACCTTAGTTAATCATTGTGTTATCCTCTCAATACTTCATTAATTTATTCAAATTGTGTAAATTGAAATTATTTTATTTAATATTAGACAAATATCCTTAGAGGTCCACTTAGTCAGACAAACAGTTACTTAATTTATACAACTATACATTAACTAATAGGAGTGCAAAAAATAAAATTTAATTATAAAAAACTAAACTAAAAGTAGCTATATAAATATATAATATTATAATATTTAAAACAATACAAAAGAGTTAATATGTTTAGGTGCAATGCTTTTAACAGAATTGCACCTAAACATATTAACTCTTTTGTATTGTTTTAATACAAAAGAGTTAATATATTTAACTCTTTTGTATTGTTAAAACAATACAAAATTATTGCTTATCTTTTCAACAGTATCCCTAAATAGTGATACTGTTAAAAGGATAGGCAAAATTTTTCCACCTGCTGGTTGAGTCATTCATTTAGTCAAATTGTGGCATTTACAATTTTTAATTTGCTAAAATGCTGAAAAAAAAGCTATGGATTGAAGTTCACATAGCCTTGTGCAGAAAGTGCAATGAACTAGAAGATTTTGTTTGTTATGTCTCTAAGGTTATTTATCATGAATATTAGCGTTGAATAGGCTAAAAACATTGTTGCTTTATTTTAGCACAATGCTTCTATGACCAATTGGTCATGGACATTAGACAAATGGTTTTAGACATCCCACAACTGATGAAATTTTGTTTTTTAATTTTGAATGCAACTTGCAAATGCAATTTTTTTATTTTCATGAGACATTCAAAAATTGTGCGCATTGTTATAGTCATGGGTGTTAGACAAATGGTGTTAAATAGTGTTACTTTGTTTTAATCATAACTTACCATTTTTTAATTTTTAGGTATAATTAAAAGCATTCTTTTTTTTATACATACACTATTTTTTATACATCTTTTAAACATACACTAGGGTCAAGAAAGTACCAAGATTATACCAATGATAATTTAGTAGTAGCAGTCAGCTTATGATGATTCAATCAGAGAAGCAGCTACTGAATACAATGTTTTAAAGAGTACATTATCAAACTAACTGAGGAAAGAAAATTGGTAATAATGATGGATATCCAACTGTTTTATCATCAGACACAGAGATGGTACTTATTAAGTATATCACACTTGCTCTGAATGAGGATTTCCATTGGACACTATAGACCTTAGGGCTATTATAAAGAATATTTATAACAAACTTGGAGTAAGAATTGCTGTTTAAAAATAATTACCTTGGAATTAAATGGGCATCAATTTTATACATTTAAATACATTAGTTGGTTGATTGGTCATTAGTATCCACAGCATGGGGTAACATTAGACCGCCACATTTTTAATGTCTAAAAAATTATTTGAAAAAATAAAAAATGGCCGAAGTAATTCCAATTTACAGTATTCTTATTGATGCAGATTTGTTTTCAAGCTTTGTTTGCAAGAAGTTTTTTTGGACAAAATGTTATGCACACATTCAGCTAAATGTCATACACAATACAAAACTAATCATCAAATACTTAAATACTTTCTGTAATATTGAAACTACATCAGTAATGCAAAGAATGTTGTAATGCAGCATAAACTGTGTTAACAATTTTTGAACTAACTCAATGCCTTTAAGCAGGCAGTGAATCTACACCACTAACTTATCCAAGGCTCTAAAAAAAAATTATTTATGGCTTATGGTTTTTTGTACAAAATGTTATGCTCACATTCAGCTAAATGCCATACGCAAATTGTGTAATTACAGTGTCCCCATATACTAAAACCTAGAGTTTAGATATTAAAGCTATATAAATCTTCCTATTAGGCTTAAAGTATTAATTATTGATTCTTTATTTAAAATGCATTCTTTTTTTTATTGAATACAACTATAATTACATATAAAATATTATTTGGCATACCATTGATAATTTACAGCATAAATTATGCATAATTTCTCAATAATCATAATACTCTTTGTAGTATGTCTTTGTTACTCTAGATAATAATTTAGAGTAATGAAGACATAATTTAAAGTTAATTAGTGTTTAAAATTAGTGTTCAACTAGTTCAACTAATGTCTAAAGTTGAGACATTCTAGACATTCGTTTTTTCCAAAAACACATGTCTCAATTTTAGACAATAGTCTTTTCAAAATTCACTTTTCTTAATTTGAGACAATAATCTTTTCAAAATTCACTTTTCTTAATTTTAGACAATAGTCTTTCCAAAATTCACTTTTCTTAATTTTAGACAATTGTCTTTTCAAAATACACTTTTCTTAATTTTAGACAATAGTCTTTTAAACACAAGTTAAGTAATTTTCAGGAAGAAATAAATTTAGACGGGGAAAATTGTAATTGGTTATAGATTATTCAATTTTTACTCCAGCATACATAGTCATTCAAAACCATTAAAAGTCTAGCATTTGTCAATTTAGTTATGAAATTTCATTTTTTTTTTAGTCATTTAAAAAAAAAAAAAAATTGGAACAAGTTTTAAACATCCAGTACCAAAATTCTGATTTGAGCAAACACAATGCCACTAATTTGGCACTAAAAAAAAAGTCTGACAGTATCTATATCAGTATTAGGTGCACTAAAAAAACATTTTAGTAGAGCTTTTTAACAAAAATATAACATTAAATGACAATGATATCATTTTGAAAACATGGATCTTAAAAAAAAATTTTAAAACCCTTATGCTTTATGCCTTAATTATAAAATTTTGAAATACTTGTGCTGAACAAAAGTAATATGTGATTTTGTGATTCATTACATGGTTTATGTTTAAAGTTAGGCTTTTTGTACAGCAGTTGTTTCTGGTTTAATTAAATTCTATTTATTTTTCTTTTTTGGTGTAGGTGTAACAATTTTTAGTTTTTTGTAATTTACTTAAAGGTAAAGAGCATTATTCAGCACCACATACAACAATCACTAATATTGTTCAAGTGCATCCACCATTATTCCAGAATTCTCAAGCAGAATCAGGTGTTGGGTATTCAAAAACTGGGATAACACATAAGCAACCAGTTATGCAAAGTACTCTTGGTAAAGGTGTTCACAACAATCTCACACATATACTGAATCCTAAAGTTCCATTACCAGGTTTACCTCTTTACATGTTGAATATTTTTATTAGCTAATAATTTCTAATTAATTTTTTAAAACTAATAATTTCTAATTAATATTAGGTGTACCGAAAAGGTTTGTCCATTTTTGCAACAAAATATATTACTTTATAATGAAGATAAATGTAAAATAACTTTGTTTGAGTTAGTTTGCCACATGAATACGTTAAATGATAAAAGCCGAACGAGTGACACAAATAGTGTCAAAAAATGAACTTCAGAATAGTGTAGAATATATTAAAAAGGCCTAATGTCGCAAAAAAAAAAAGAATAGTGTCGCAAATGGATTTAATAAATAGTGTTGAAAACAAAAAAAAAGGAATAGCGTCGCATATAGTAAAAACGGAATAGTGTCGCAAGTCGTTCATTTTAATTGCTTACTCGTTTTGCTTATCTTTATAGCAAATGGCTTTTAAAAAAAAAAAAAAAAACACAACCCCAAACCCTCAGTCAATTTGTGGCACTCCTTTGCGGCAGCAGGCTATAAGATAGTTGATGTATGTACTGAAGCCCTCGGCAGCCGGTTATTTTGCGACACTATTCCACCACATCAGCCAAACATAGGCTAAATAAACATGTGCTAACACGTCAAAAGTTTTTTTGTAGAAACAGAACTTTTCGGTTGACCTAATATTTTGTAATATTTTTACTTTTTTGTTAATGTATACCATACTATACCTTATTTACTACTATTATATACCCTACCATAATTACTACCTAATAATTACTACATTTCTATTTAATTAAAATAAAAGAATCTATTAGAGTACTGATGTTGATGACACTCAAAAAAAAAATCATTTGTTTAATTTGTACTCATTACTTTTACTTCTATTTTTACTTTTGCTATTTACTATTTAATTCTACCTTTACTATGGTAGATACTTATGTTGTTATGGTAGATACTTATGTTGTTATGGTAGATACTTATGTTCTTATGGTAGATACTTATGTTGTTATGGTAGATACTTATATTGTTATGGTTGTTGTTATGGTAGTTACTTATGTTGTAATGGTTGTTAGATAATTATTGATTACTAATTAGAATGTCATAATGATTGTAGTTTTTTCCTTTTTTAGGCCGATTAGAATAAAATTAGACAACAATTTATAAATAACTGACAATCAGTGTGTACAAAAACTAAATATGATGAAACCATAATTATTATTATGTATGGAAGAAATTTAAATAAGTTTGGTTTTCTTTGCAACATTCTCTTCTCTATTTGGAGAAGTGATTATTTAACAAATGTTTCTATGAATCAAAAAAAAAAAGTAAAATAAAATTAATTCTTTATCTTTTTTTAACTATTTTTATTTGTTATTATTTTTTTTAATGTATCCTACTTTAAACAAGGTTCAAGTAAAAAAAATCTTGATGCAGTTTATTTTTTTTTACAATATATAGTACAAGGGGCAAATCAATTCAAATTTACCACAACAAATTTGCTGCAACAAAATTAGCAAAGTTCTTTCAAAAGACTCTCACAACTACGTTTAAAATATTATTTGTACAAAACAGATGTTAATCCAGGTAGAATAAACACAGGACTTATTGTTATAAAATTTAATAGAAATAAAAATAAAAGTTACTACTTTAATTTACTACTTTGAAAGTAAAATTAATTAAAGTTAACATCAAAAGTGTATATAAGTAAACCAATGATCTCAAAATATGAAAAGTTATATTTTGAGATGAAATAAGCAAACTTAAAAAACAATTATTTCTTGGCGATACTCGTGGTTCCAAAAGTACAAAACGTAACAAAAAAAGTATAAACGTTAATTCTAAAATTAGCTATGCCCGACCTGACAGACAAATAGCCAAAATTAATATTTGCCTGACCAGGATATTTTGTATCAATATTTTTTTAAAACATGATGGTTCCTTTTATCATAAAACTTTAACCCAGAAATATAAAAGTTAGCGATCACAGTTGCTTCCAATAATATACTTTTAAGATTGCTAAATGGTTTTGGCCCATTGCAATTTGCGATCACTTAATTTGGCCCTTGTAGTATAACATTCCCATCCTATTTTCAATTCAATGTGAAGTTTAAAAAAGTCGAATTTAATAAAATTTGTGGTTTCAATTTTTTTAGTTATTTTTTATTTAGATGTGCGGTCTTCAATAAGAGAGGATGTTTTAAAAGCACTTCCATTAGATGTTGCAGATTGGACTATTGATGATGTTGCATACTATTTTAAATCTCATGGTTATATGGAAGAAGGAGCTTTGTTACAAGAACAAGTAAAAATATTTCATGTTTTAAATGTTTTCAAAGTTACTTATCCTATTAATTAGACACACACACACACACACACACACACACACACACACACACACACACACACATATTCTATTCTACACCTTTAAAAAGTACTGCAATCTTTTAGATGTAATTTCTGATCAAATTAATCAAGTCCTTTCTTTTTATCCCTCTGCCAAATTTTGTTGTTATCTGATTGGGATTGTTATCTGTTGCGTACTTACTGGGATTTATTTTGTGATTTTCTTTGTGATGGTCCTTGTGCTGATGTCTTTTTTTGTGATGGTCCTTGTGCTGATGTCTTTTTTTGTGATGGTCCTTGTGCTGATGTCTTTTGTTTTTCCGCTGATAAATGCACTACATAATCTCCTGGCAGGTATGAAAGTTTTTATTCCTTGTTGTTGGTTTCAAGCCTCATTCTACTCCATAGTTTTTGTCTTTTTGTGCTGGTGCTATATCTAATTTTAAACATTTTTTCAATAAAACATTTTTCTTTAGAACAAATATCTTTTTATTATTGCATGAATTCAATGTAAATAGGTGCTGTCTGATACTAAATTTCATTATTCCCACTAAATGTTGCATCTTATCTCAGAAGTTTCTAGAAACTTTGATGATCTTGATGGGGTGGAATAAACACCTAGAATTCTCAAAATTTGTCAATCATAGTTTCTGTAGAATAATGCAGTTTTAACACTTGGTTCTTATTAGCAAAAAATGTCTTCTAAATTAATTCAATACTTTGAAGGCATTTTAAAAAGCTTTCCACTTTGTTTTATTTATTTTGTTTTAGTGAACTATGTGCAGATGTACATAATATGTAAGTGCAAGTGTACATAATTTATAAAAGCAAGTGTATACAATATGTAAGTACAAATGTATGCAATATGTAAGTGCAAGTGTACTCAATATATATAAGTGCAAGTGTACACAATATGTAAGTGCAAGTGTATACAATATTTACCTAGTATTATTTAATGTTATAATCACAAAATTTATTAATATTAAAAATTGTATTTTGTCACTACTCATTGACCAATTTTTTTATTTTTTAAAAATTTGTTTTGTTTATTTTCTTTAAAATGTAAATAATGTAAGAGTACTTTTGAATATTCAAAGAGTTTGTTCATGTTGTTTGTTTGTTCAAAGGGTTTGTTCATGTTATTTGTTTGTTCAAAGGGTTTGTTCATGTTGTTTGTTTGTTCAAATGGTTTGTTCATGTTATTTGTTAAATATATAAATAAATAAAAAATGCTATTATTTATAAGTTCTTTTTATTTACTTATGTGATAAGGGTTTGATTTTAACTGGGCCACTTTGATTAAATCAAAAATGGACCAGGTTTAATGAATTTGTAGCCAGGTCTTTTTCATAAATCAAATTTTATAATTAAAATATGGGAAGGAATTGAGAGATAAACCTTGATACATTTAATAGTTTAAACTCAACTATTTGCTAGATATTTTAGTAAGTTACAACTATTTTACAAACAAGCAACAAATCAAATTTTTAATAAATGAAAACAAATCTTTTTTTGTTTTTAATTAATTGTTAAAGTTTTTAACAATTTTGTTAAAAATTGTTAAAAATTTTCACCCAATTGTTAAAAACACTATAAAAAGGTAATGTATTAAAAAAAAAGAAAAAAGAAAAAGTTAATATATATAAAGTAGAATATAAAGTTAAAAAGAGTTATTACATAACATAACAAAAACATGAGAGGAAAATGTTTTTTGCAAAAGCAAATATTCTTCAAATGGACAAAACTTTATATGATGCTTTTTTTATTGTTTCATGTGATTCATTTTTTATGACAATATAAGACAAAGCAATGCCTTAACACTTAATAGCAATTACTAACACTTAAATGGAAACTCAAAGTTTAAAAAATATATATTTATATCATTTGTAGAACGATCCAAAAATTTTCAACTAAAATTTTCAATAGATTTGTTCATAGAGCATTTATGCAAAGTAAATAACTATTTATGCTAAAATTTATAAAAAAAAAGTATTTAGTATTGGTAGAAAAAAAGTATTAATGTATTCGTAGAAAATAGTCATAAAAAAAAAAATGAATCTATAAAGTTGAAATAAAATGAAAAATGAATGAGTTAGAATAAAATAACATCTTTTAAAGAAAACATCACCAATAAAACATCACCAATAAAACATCAACAAATGATTCTTATAAACATTACCAATAATTGATTCATCACCTAATAATGTTAGTATTTTCAAAAGTTTTTAAGAACATACTTATGTAACCTTAAAAATAAAAAATATAAATTTATGTAATCTTAAAATTCTCTATTACCTTTACTAAAATCCAAGGTTATGATAAATAACCCTCAAATAAAAATGTGGAGTTATAAACTTCCTCATGTTTTGCTCTTGTAAAAAAAATGCAAGAAAAAAACTACAGATTTTGCTTTTGTATTTTAATGGGACAACTCAGCTACTGCATTAAGAAAGCTGTAACAGGCATTTGCCGTGGAATAATGATAATGCTATGAAACATTGATGAGTGATAGCTTAGTGCTCATTTGGAGTCATGATGTTGATTTATTATAATGCTGTTCTTTTTTTTTTTCTAATCATTAAATAAGTCTTCAAAATAAAATAGAGCTATAGATAGAAATAATTATTTTTCATATTTTATTTGTTTCAAAAGGTTGAATATTATATCCCAAAATATGTTCAAAAATCTGTTCAGTATTTTTTTTTTTTTTTTTAATATTTTTAATGTAATTTTTACAATATTCTTGTCTAAATATTTACAGGAAATTGATGGGCGTGCATTGCTTTTGATGTCTCGTAATGATTGCTTAACTGGTATGCGTATTAAACTTGGGCCGGCACTTAAAATTTATCATATGCACATATATAAACTCCAGTCACGTACAGATTTCCTGGGTTAGTTTTCAAATTTCAAGAAGCTATCAGATTTCTTATATTCAAATTTATTCATATGCTGTAAATAATATTTGCTTATCTTCTGGTACCCACTTGAAAAAAATTTTTTTGCATACAAATCTGAAAATTGGATGGTTTTACCAGGTTAATGTAATATTTAGAGCAGATATAGTATTTTATAAATTGATCTGTTAAAAGATTTTTTTAAATATGTGTTTAATATTTTAATTATTAAATATGCAATTTAAATATGTGGCTTGGTACAAGAAGTAAAGTTTGGTGTTTGTCAAAATAGTCTTATAATTTTATTTTGAAAAAAAGTTTTCTTTTAAAAATTTGTACATGGGTAGTAAAATGCATTATGTAAACTAAACTGTTTATTTAAAATTATTTTTGGAATGTTATAACATAAAAAAAAAAATTTCAATAATTATTTTGTTGTTTTTTGAAAATCTTTTTGGTTCATTTTTTTTTTTTTATTCATTATAGTTTATTAGGAATATTTGATTTTTAAGAGTGTTTACCTGTCTTATGTGTTTACATGTTTCATGTCTAAAATAATCTTTATTGGGTTTTTTTTTTCTGAAAATTTATAAAATAAAAAAAAATGATAAAAATAAATGAAAATTATAATTAAAAAAAAATTATAAAATTATAAAAACTTATAATGATTTCACAGTAGTTCTGTACAATTAATAAGAACAATGATTTCTGTGCAAATTAATAAAAAAGGTTACATAAAGCCTGACCTGTAATAACTCCTTTTATTTTTATTTTTCTTCTTCTTTTCAGGATTGATCTTTCACCTTGAATTTTTTACATGTTTCATACATTACTTATGTAAGATCATTTGTTGCAATATTAAAACCATCTTCCTAGAAACAAGTTTTTCTGTTTTGATGCTTGTAGTTGCATTGAAAATATTTTCCAGAGATTTTTTTTTGTTGTATTTCAATAAACTAAAATTGTGGTTATTTTACCATTCTGAAAAAGTTTGCCTGGTCTATAAGGAGCCTAATTTTTGGGGGAGTGTTTTGTTACTTTTTTATTTGGCTTCGGTATTATATTGGTTTCTTGATGGGTAAATTCTAGTACAAGCTTTTCCTTTTTGATAACAATCAAAGTAGATGTTTTAGTAAATCAAAGTAGATAAGGATTTATATCTATAAAGAAGATTAATAAAATGTTTTTTTTAAGGTTGATTTTTTATTGATATAAATGGAATATTTCCACAGCTTCAGCTTTCTGTTTCATTATTGCGGGGTTTTTTTTTTTTGGCAGTTACAGGTAAAAGTTGATTGCAAGACTCTTTGTGAAGTTACAGGTAAAAGTTGATTGCAATGCTCTTTGTGAAGTTACAGGTAAAAGTTGATTGCATTGCTCTTTGTGAAGTTACAGGTAAAAGTTGATTGTAATACTCTTTGTGAAAATTCTTTACTTGTAACTCATCAAACTCATCAAAATAATTGTTGTATTAAGTAGAAGTTTCAAAGATTTAAATTGTTGCACAACCTTTTGAAACAACCTATACATTTTGAAAACATATTTGTGGTCTAGGAATATTTCACTCAAAAAACATTTTTTCAAGTAACATAATAAATACATATATGCAACCCTCGGAATTAGGGTCGGCATTCGGCAATGCCGACTCAACTGCCCACCTGAAAGTGTTTGAGGTCGG